CGCGCTTAAGACCACAAATGATGTCACGCCAACCTCTCCCTAGCTCAGCACGACGTCACACCGACCCGTCCCCACTGCTGCCCGCACCCACCCCCAGCCCACCCTTTTGGAGCAGCACCCCAGCACACCACAGGAGTAACTCAGATGCCTTTTTTTTTTGGTAAAAATCCACGATTACAGTCCCGCAGGCAAAAACGGCCACGTGAAGGGAAAACCTGGGCAGCCCGAGGATGGAAAGTTGGTACCACCTGTCACAATAACACATCAGATACAGGATGTAGTCTCACGATGTAAGCACAGCAAATGGATTAAGGAAGAACACGTGTTAAAACACTCTAGTAAGACTGCATTGTACCCACAAAAAGACGCTGACCACAGCTAAGAAGCCTCAAGTTTTTCCCCAGTTTTCAGCTGATCTAAATATCTGATACACTTGTAAGTATAAAAGCAGCAACCCAACACCTAACTTCCAGCTATTTCCATGGAACAGCCCACCCACGGGGAGCCGTTCAAGGCTCCACTCAAACCAGACAGTTATTCTGCAAAGGGTCAGATGATCCCAATCCCACATCTGCTACTGCACCAAATCTTCCCAAACATTCTAAAATCGGGACAGGAAGCCATCTGTGCCTAAGGACCAGCCCAGATCGCCTTTTCCTATGTGCAACACATAATAATCCTCCTCGATCCCACTCTTCTTTCTGCCTCTGGCTAAACCCCACTGTATCATGTCACGTAACTTCTGTTCCTCTGTGGTATTTTGGCAGGAATCACAGAGATAGTCATGGCCACACGGATATTAACATTTTTCTTCCAAAAAACCCCCACCCATAACCTCTGAAGTGATACAATGACAGAGAACGCAAAAAAAAAAAGCACAGAAAAGTTCAGAAAAACAACTGCACTGATCTGTATCTATCTGTATATGAAATCCAAACTCTTCAAGTCAGTATGAAAGCTTCGCTTGGGTTTCAAAGCAGAGAACACTCCTGATTTCATACCGGCTCACAGCAATCCGTTGGGTAAACTAATGTGCAATATTGCTGTATTATTAGGACATTAAGTTAATCACACTACGAATGGAAGTGGTATGTCAGAGAACAAGCAAGACAGTTTTTTAATTAACCTGTGCAGAAGTTCAGTCCCTCCCTTTTTAATGTTTTAAATAAAAAAACCGCAGCAATATCAGTATTTGAGGAAAAAAACACCAAAGTATCTCAAATTTTACACATTTGATAGCCTAGAGCCTATGCTTGCTCAGTTACCAGTAACTCAAAGGTAGCACAACTAGCTTTTGGCATTTAAAACATTTTCATTTCTAAAACCCAAAGATACTCTTTGACAGCATGAATAATCCATGTCATTTGCTTGAGCCTTATAGTTTTGTGACTACTGTGAAATTCAGGCAACTTTAGTATCTCAAAGCACCATTAAAAACTGTAGGTAAGAAAGATCATGAGGTACCTTGCATTGACATCATGCCTGCTACCAGTTAAACCAGTTATATGAGTACACTTGTTTCAAGGAGAGATTATCCAGCTCCTACAGGCTGTGTTCGGTATGCCCACAGAATCCAGGAGGCAGATTTACCACCCTAAACCTGCTTCAAATCTGTCTGCAGAACTGGTCCCAAGACACAAGGTGGGGGTGGGGGGAGTGTATCACCACCAGTGGACACACACAACTATGACCAGCCACTGCAGGCCAAAAATGTTCACCAAACCCAATGCATGGATAAAACGAAATGGAAGGAGATACTTAAAACCATTTGCTTTTGTGTTATCCGTTTTGGAAAAGAAATACTGTGGAAGTTCCGCTACTATTGCGGACAGTTTTTCCTACAATGGTGCGTCAAGAAAAATCACTGTTTTGGTTTCTGAGCTTGTACCTCTTCTGAAAAATTTTCATTGCAAACAGATCAGATTAGTAAGAAACTGCACTTTGTGTTTACCTCACTAGCAAATTTCACCAAGATTGTCAAATAAGTCAAAACAATCTTACTAGCTCAGAGCAGTCTAGTTCCACAGAAGGAAGAGGTTTTGAACATGTGTAAAAGAAGCGGACAATTTTATTAAGTTCTACTGGACAAAGAGTACTTTAAATTGATTATTCAGAAACCTGAACAAAGCTTTGAATGTGTGTGTGTTCACGTACTGCTAGCACCCAGAGAACCAGTCCAAACTGGCATCTGTCATTAGTTCAGGTAGTATTCAAGCATAAAACAGTTGGTATACTAAATAGTATCCATAAGATTAAAGTAATATTAACTAAAGCCTTACATAAACAGAAGTTGTAGGTCTGTTACAGGTATGTAAGTAGGTCCAAATAATAACACAAAGGTAACTTAGTACATACAGATCTGAAGAGTCAATTGCCTAATACACAAGTTTAGCAGCATTTCAACAGCATCTCTTTTCTGATCTCCTTTTCTACACACTCCTGTTGCAGACACACCTGATCCGAAGGAGGGTATGAGGCACTACTCCTAAAAGGAGGGTGGGGAGGCACTGGAGCAGGTTGCCTAGAGAAGCTGTGGCTGCCCCCTCCCTGGCAGTGTTCAAGGCCAGGCTGGATGGGGCTTGGAGCAACCTGGTCTAATGGAAGGTGTCCCTGCCCATGGCAGGGGGGTTGGAACTAGGTGATCTTTGAGATCCCTTCCAACCCAAACCATTCTGTGATTTTAGTCTTCTCACCTTTCTAAAGGGTGACCAGTCAATCAGCTGGTCAATCAGCCTCCCTTTTTAATCAGCTTTCGTTTAGATGCTTTTTCTGTAGCCTGACATGTGGGCAGAAACATAGATGATGCTAGTTCATGCATTAACAAACAAACAAACAAAATATCCAAATCTTAAAGCATAGTATATATTTTACTTCAATGAATTTTAATACCCTTCTGCAAATAGTACAGTTAATCATGAGTTAAATAACTTACTTCATTTCCTCAGAGGCTTCTCTTCTCATTAAAGTAATCACAAGATTGAAAGGACCAAAATTCTTGTCAAGATTTAGCAGATACAGTCATGACAGCAATTGGCAGACTAAGTCAAACTACAATAAAGACAAGTCAGTTATTAATAACCTATCTTCCTACTAAAAAGAATTACTTTCAAAACAGTATGACCTGAAAGTGAAATTAAACTCATCTTTCTAAAACTTAGTAAAATTTAAAGATTCAAACAAACATCATGGTACCATCTTCCCAACTTGTTCTGAGGAGGAAAACAGAAGTCTACTTGAATGGATACTCTACAAAAAGTTTGGGGTTTATTTATTCATTTATTTAGAAGACCCTTCCTCTGACTGAAATCTGACACTGACATAAGAGAGGCTAACAGTTCATTAATTAATTTACTGTTTGATTTGATATTTAATTGCCTCCACGAATACACACTGCAAGTAGAACTGTACACTTGATACTGTCCCCTCCTTTTTTTCCCCTCTATATTTTATATTTCATGATTGTTTGCTATTTTTATTTCAACAACATATGTAATTTCCAAATATAGACAATTTTCTTCGATGCTTTGGTACACAGGGAAATGTCTCAGGAACATGTTCTGTTTTAAACCTAGCTTCAAGTTTCTCATTTGCCCTTTAACTACTCTTTCCTTTTCCTCTGCACTTGAAGATCTAACAATCTGGTAAAAATGATTCCTTGGACCACCCCCAATACCTGAGCACAACCACTTAAATTCTTCTTCTAATTATCAACAACAGGCATTCAGAAATTAATATAAAATCCAAGGCTCCAGAACAATATCTGTTTTTTCAGCCACTCTACCTCAATAAAACTGCGCTCGCTTCAGTTTTTCTTGTCAGAGTTCTGTTGTGGTGAACAGAATTCTAAGAACTCAAGGCCAGCAAAGGCAACTGAAGTATAAATAACTGGAAGCTTTGCTAACACATAATGGGTGTTGAGGATCTCTGCAGAAACAGTCAAACTGAAATTACTGGATCAATTAAGCAAAGGCACATGCCCTACTTTTATTAATACTTTTGAGTACCTTTAAAATAAAAGAGAAAAGCTATAATCGTTAAGACAAGCTTTAGTCATTTTATCCATTGCTCTAACCTTCAGAAGCTCAACATGTTATACATATATACTACAAGGAAAAAAGTTTAAATTGTCTTTGCTTCATTAAAACAAAACAAAACAGTATTTCAATACAGCATTCTCAAACACCAATATGGAGAAAATACTAAATACTTCAAACAGTCTTAATGTTTTTATGGCTTCTGATAAACCACAGCTCTCAAATTTTATGAGCAGATGCAAAATTTACCACCTGAAAGGTAGCATAAAGAGCTAACTCCAAGACCTTAGCCGAGATTATTAAGCAAGAAATGTTACTTTTTTCCTTTGCCACTGGAATTACAATTACATTAAACTTCCCCCAACCCAACACTCTCCTACTGCACTAAAAGGCAGGATAGATATTTTGACATCATATAATAAAGAACAGAAATAAGTTGAGATGCAGACGGTAGTTGATAGCTTCTTGATAGGCCGTTCACGGGCTACAAGACAAACTGGCTAGGAGTGATGCAAAGTCAGTTTACCACAGAAGGGAATAACATTTAATAAGTGCGCTGGAAAGTGCCTGACTGCAGGATACCCTTTATTCTAATGTTCTTTTAATAAACAAAAGATAATTGGTCAGAACTACTGCTGAAGCCTCACCTCTCACCCTTTGTAAACTGTTCTTCTCTTCCCTTCCTCACAAGTCCCTTTATTCTAAAAGCTAAGGCCTTCATGGCAGAAGCCCTACTGCTTACGAAAAGCAAGCAGCTTAGAACTCCTAATAATTCAATTGTGTCACCTAAATCTCCTGCAATTCTCCCTCCTTTCAGGGGGAAAAAAATGTGCTATTACTATTTGATGGCCTTCAGCGTCCAGTTTTCAGATGTGCAGAAATCTATCTGCACATCTGTTGAAGAGGCCTCTTGTCAAGCTGACATTCCAATGAAGACTGGATGTTAACCTCCAGATTTCATCGAAGTCTGTCTCCTTAACAAGAATACGCCAGCAGTCCCTATTTTTTTGTTTGCTTTGTTATAAATGCCTCGATTCTCCTCGTCTCAAGATCTCAGAGTTGCTACCAAGTGGTTGGGTAGAATCACTAATGTACAGCCTTAGGAGAGTCAAAAATAAATACTACAAATTTGAGCAATCATTTCTCCATCCCTCCACCAGTCAGTAGCAGCAGGAACTGGTACAGACCCATCAGTGTTCCACTACAATACAGACTTTGAACAAACCCTAAGTTTTATCAATAAAGCACAGTCCAGTTGCTCTGTTGATGAAAGTGCATTAGAGTTCCTGTTTCTCTCCACTAACCACAGTGGAGTCAGACGCACCAGGAACTTTATTACTTCCAGCAAAAACAGAATCAAAAGCAGCTTCCTGCTCCTCTAAAGTCACAGCAGCAGAGGATCGTCTAACAGATGTGCTGTTAAGGGCAGGCCGTTGCTCTGTATTCCTTTCCAGGTCCACTGTTTTCCTACCTCTTCTTTTGCCCAGGATTTTGATGTAATTAGCTGGCACAAGTCCTGTTGTTTGGCCATCATAACTAGCCAAAAGCCAACCACGGATTTTGGGTTGTTGTTCTGAAGAAGAAAATGCAAACGCATCAAGTTACAAAACAATTCAAAATGTATTGCAGTTGAGGCACAAATACAACAGAAGGTAGATGACACAACAGCTCATCAAGCAGAGAAAATAACCCAGTGATAAAAGGCGAATACAAATTACTTTACACGAGAAATGACTAGAATCTGCATCGGTGAGGTAAGCTGAAGAGTATTGTGAAGTGCATGTTGTTCTGACGTCACCGTACAGCAAACGCCTAGGGGCTTTCACAGTTGCACAGCACACGTGAGGAAAAGGTAACCACGAGGGTAACCAAAAAGCACTCCCTGAGTAAGTTTAGGCTGTGTGAACAAAACTACTAAGCTTTATTACAATGCACATATTAACTTATGGGAAAAAAAAAAAAAAAAAAAGTGTGGACTAGGAGTTTTGTCAAATAAGGCAGGGCTGGGTTTTGTTTTCATTTTCAGAATCTAACAATACGACTTACTTCACATGTGATTAGAAAACAAGTATAAAATTAAAAGTTTACCTTTGGGTGCTAATTTTAGTATGTCACCAGCACGGAATGAAATTTCTTCTTCTGAGAGAGCACTGAAATCATATTCTGCTCTTCCAACTACATGATCATCTTCTCCACTCGCCCAGTTACTAGATACTGTTTCCAAAAAGACATCGAAAGTGTATCTGCTTTAAGTTTGGTGGGGATTTTTTAAAGGAAAATGAAAAAACACTTTAACTTTCTTGCTAAAACTTTTCAAATAGAGAACTGACAGGACTAACAAAGAAATCACGATTTGTTGAATCAATCCAACCAATACTTTTCCCCCTGCCCCAACTGCTAAATCTAACAGAGAGGAAACAGAAACAGAATGGAGCCGTGATTTTGAAATCACATAAAGCTTACCATGAAACTGCATCCTAACTCGAGAACAGGCTACTTAAATAGGCTGTTACTTGTCTCACATGCCTAAAATTGAGTATTGTACTCCAATATACATCAACTTCTATTACTGTAGTGTAAAATTAATTGCTATACAGGTGATAACAAAAGGAACAATATATGCTGCACTTCTCTCGTGCTGCGGATCATCTTTACCTGTTTCTTCGTCGCTGTATGTAGAAAGCAGTTTCCAGATCAGATAGGGACCTCCCATTATAACAGCAAAGAACAAGAAAATGGGCCAGGATTTTGCAGAGTTAGACGTCTTGTCTTCAAGGCCAACGCGAGCTACTGTCCCCTCACTTTCAGCCCACAAATCCTCATTCTCAGAGCTCTTCCGCAGACCTAGTAATCGTTGTAGACGTTGGTAGAGATATCTTATAGTTCTCACTAAAGCAAAAGCCGAAAACACCTTTGTGAAGTGTACTTTGAGGCGGGAGAAGTGGTTGGCTACATCCAACACAGCTCTGAAACTGTTGTATACTGCTGAAAAGGTAGCATCCATCATCATGCTGACTGAGGCAAACGCATGCACAATACTTTCAA